TTTAGGGTCGATGGGTTCTTTTAGGGCTATGCCAATCTCCATCACCAGCAAATGCAACAAGTCGTCTACTCCAAGCTGCTGAGCTGAAACTTTTCTCTGTCTTGTCTCCTCTAAGCTGCCACAGCATCTGTGTCTGGTCTCTCCAGCATGCCACACCTTCTCTTTCTGGGCTCTCATACTTATATCCCTCAGAGTCCTAACCCATGCCCCTCTCCATGCTGCACAAGGCAGGCAGTTATCAGCTGGCAAAGACATACTATTACTTGTATTAGTTGCAAAATAATGGATAAACTTGGCGAGAATGTTAATCCACACAGACACACACCTGAAAGTTTTTTTCTTTTTTTCTTTTTTTTAACTTAAAATTTTTTATATGGGCGCTAGAGAGATGGCACAGCAGCTAAGAGTACTTGTTGCTGTTTCAGGTGATTCTGTTGGCTTCGCAGCACCACATGGCAGCTCACAACCCTCTGTAACTGGGGTTCCAGGGGATCCTACCTCGTCTTCTGGCCTCCTTACACACAAGATAGATACAAGGTTAACCAGTATGCTTGTGCACGGCATGTGTGCCAGGTGACTGCGGAGACCCAGTGAGTGCGTCTGACCTCTTGAGACCAGAGTTAGACAGTTGGGAGCTACCCTGTGGGTGCTGGAAATCTAACCTGGGTCCTCTGGAAGAGCAGCCAGTATTCCTAGCCCTTTAAGCCATCTCTCCAGCCCCCAAATAAAATCCTTAAGCGTTTTTCCTACTTAATTCTTTCAGTTTTCATTCTTCTGGAACAGATTTTAAAATTTTCTTTCTAATAAAGTTCTATCCTTCCCCCTTGGTGGAGTTGGGGGGGTGGGAAGAGTGGGTCTTACTAGGTCATAATTGGAAAAATGTACATTTATAAAACAAAATGGAAAAACCTTCAATTTAAAAATTATTTTAAAGAAGTTTTCACATTACGCTAAGCACATTCCTCAAAGCTCCTTTCTTTGCCAGCATAAGAACCTCTCTATTTTCTGACTGCTTGATGAGTCCCTACAGCGCTTACCTTAGATAGGTAACAAACGACAGAAATTTAAGCACCTGGTAGAATTTAATTATCCCCAAAGGAGGAAAAACAAAATCTCCAGAGAAATCCAGAATCCTTTGAAAGAAAAAGGCCCGGTGGACTGGTTTCATTCTTAGGCCACACACAATCCCTTTGCTACTCCAGCTCCAGAGGAATCCCACACCTCTGGCTTCTGTGGGCACCTACACAGGCAGACAAGCAGACAGACAGTCTCTCTCTTTCTCAAATAACTCTCTAAAGAGAAAGTAAAAGAAGAAGAATGAATTCTTAAGAGAGGCCACCAGCTCCTGCCCTTGAACTAGTGTCAGCAGATCTGTGGACTTAGCTGGCTCTGTGGCTCTCCGTTCCCTGCCCCAGATGAAGAATAGTCAAAGGTTACACTAGTCTGACATCTATATCCCTCCATGTCCATGGCAAACACTGCAAACCAAACACCTTTTCCCGCTGAGCCCAGATTCTGCCTCAGCCCTCAGCACAGCCATTGTGTGAGAGCTCACCAAGGGTTAAGATCTGCTCACTTCCCTGGCATTTCAGGGGCTCACATCTTTCTAGATGTAATAGGCATGATCTGTTTTAAAATTTAAATTTATATATTTATTTATTACAATTTATTCACTTTGTATCCCCGCTGCAGCCCCCTCCTTTATCTCCTCCCAGTCCCATTCACCCTCCCTTCTCCCTCTATGCCCTTTCCCTAATCCCCTGATAGGGGAGGACCTCCTCCTCTTCTATCTGACCTGAGCTTATCAGGTCTCATCAAGGCTGGTTGCATCATCTTCCTCTGTGGCCTGGCAAGGCTGCACACCCCAGGGGGAGGTGATCAAAGGACAGGCCACTGAGTTCATGTCAGAGACAGCCCCTGTTCCCCTTACTAGGACACCCATTTGGAAACTGAGCAGCCAATGGGCTTCCTTTGAACAGGGGGGTCTAGGTCCTCTCCATGCATGGTCCTTGGCTGGAGTATCAGTCTCTGCAGGCGACCTTTGGCCCAGGTATTTTGGCTCTGTTGTTCTCCTTGTGGAACTCCTGTCTTCTCTGGGTCTTTCTATCTCCCTCTTCTTCTGTAAGGATTCTGGCAACTCTGCCCAAAGTTTGGCTATGTATCTCAGAATCTCCTTCGATACCCTGGTGGGTAGAGTCTTTCAGAGGTCCTTTGTTGAGGGCTCCTGTCCTGTTACTTGTTTTCTCCTACTTCTGATGTCTATCCTGTTTGCCCTTCTGAATGAGGATTAAGCATCTTCCCTAGGGTCCTCCTTGTTATTTAGCTTCTTTAGGACTATAGATTTTAGAATGTTTATCCTATATTATATGGCTAATATCTGCTTATAAGTGAGTATATATCATATGTGTCTTTCTGCTTCTGGAATAGCTCACTCAGGATGATATTTTCTAGTTCCCACCATTTGCCTGCAAATTTCATGATTTCCTTGTTTTTAATTGCTGAGTAATTGTGTAAATGTACCATTCTTTCTGTTAGCCATTCTTCTGTTGAGGGGCATCTAGGTTGTTTCCAGATTCTGCCTATTACAAATAAAGCTGCTATGAACATGGCTGAGCAAATGTCCTTATTGAATGGTGGGGCATCTTTTGGGTATATAACAGGCATGATCTTAAAGAAACACCATTTAACTCAACCTTAAAAAAAAAAAAAAAGAAAAGAAAACCATAATACTGATTTGTCATGATCACAGCCAAGATGAATAATGTACAAGCAGAAATGAAAACCATGAAAGCTGAATCATTCTAGGTAGGTTACAAAAAATAACTTGAAAAGCTAGATCAACTCAAAGAAAGAAAAAAAAAAAAAAAAAGAAAGATAATGAAGTCAAACATGGGCCAAGGCTGTTCAGTACTAGAGGAAGAAAAGTTAACGTGGCATGATCACACCGGTGAAAGTTTCCACCACACCAGGCCGACTTTGACAGCTCATTTCTTATCTTCCCAATGACTCTGTCATAAAATTAAAATGTCTCTATGAAAACATAAATGCTCAGCACACTCTTAAGTCACAGGAATGAAGGCAAAAAAGTTTCAATCCTAAGTTTACAACTGTGGTTAATGCTAGAGTAAAACACTCACATGAACACACTGACTTGTTGCTCGCTGTGTATATTCACAGCAGTCCCCTCTAGTGTAGCCCCCGAGCACTGGCCTTACAGCTGTGAGGAGTGGGCCACCACCCTCAGCCATGGGCTCTTACTAAGAAAAATTCTCGTTGCAGGCAGTACTTTTGTTACTGCCCAGCCTGCTACACCTTGCAGTGTACTCGGTAAACCTGTTTGTGACATACTCAATAAACCGGTTTCTTCCCACTTTGGTGTAAAGAGGAATTCATTTGCCATCTACTGTGGCCAATCTACCACAATTTCTCTTATAGGGGGAAAAAAAAGCTGGGAATGGTGGTGCAAATACCTGCAGTCTCAGAACTGGGGAGGCAGAGGTAGGAGAATGGTTGCAAGCTTGAAGGATAGCCAAGTCAGGTTTCAAGGAGTCAGACTTCTCCAGCTGAGACCCTGTCTCAAGAAAGGAGGGGGGTGAGGCAGCGGGAAGTTGTAGGCCTCTGGGAAACAGAGCTCATCAATACTTAAATTTAATTTCAGGTCATACTCTAGGGAAGATTGGCCACCCTCAATATTTATTAACATCTGTCTATTTTCTTTGGTACAAGGTACTTTTTTCCTCCTAGCCTTTTATGACAGGTTCTCGTGTAGCTCAGGCTAGCCAGAACTTCCTATACAGCCAATGATGGCCTTGAACTCCTGGTCCTCCTGCACTTATCTCACAAGTTCTGGGATTAAAGACATGAGCCTGCACTTCCAGACAGAAAGAAACTCTAATGGTTTACAAGAGGCCATTATGGTACTTCCAATTCTAAATACTGACTTTTAAAAATAAATGAATTTAGAGTAACTCTGGAAAGTTCTACGAGAACAACAGAGAAACAAGAAAACTGAAATAACACGGAGAGATTATAATGTTCACCACGTACCTCGTGGTACCTTTTTCAGTTTTATGTTATGTTTGCTTCTTTCATTCACTGTTAGAGGATAGATCAACTATCTTTTGCATTTTGTTCTGCACATGAAGAAATAAATGTCTTATCTCCAAACTGTACACACCACACTTAGGTAATAGTAAAAATGCTTTGATGGAAGGAACAAGACAAGAACCATGAATTACTGAACAACCCTGTTAAGAGACTCTCATGTTTAGCACGAGTGAGGCAGTAGTTTCACTTCCCAGAAGCACAAAAAGAAAAAAATAAGATTAAGAAAAAAATTCTAGGTCAGAAAATACTTCAGTTTATAAAATCAATAACAAAAACTTACTCAAATGTACATGATCACATAATTTCCCAAGTTTCCCAGCTTTTGTCTAAAGGCTGTGAGAGTCTGAAACTTGGAGTAAGGCCAGTTTGGGGATATTTTTTTCCCTCAAGATCTTTTCCCAAAGGAAATATCAAGAGAAACAAACTCCAAAGCTCCACATCTCTAAAAATTAACTGAAAAACAAGCAACCACAAAACACACAACATCCTTATCTCCAGCCCTCTGCTCCTTCCTCGGCAAGGTTCCCGGACCTAATGCAATCTTGAGGAAGGAGGCAGGCGCACAGGCATCTTTCCCAGGCTGCAGTCTCCCTGCTCCTGTGCAGCTCAGTCACTGAAGTGCTCCTTTTACCAGCAGCTCCTGCACTTAGGAATGCTCTTGCTCGCTGGGTGATTTTGATGGAAAGTCCTGCTCTTTGAACTATTGCTAGGCGGCCTGTGCGCTGATCACGCTGCTTTCCTTAAGGGTCTCCCAGACAGCCCAAGTTCACTGTTGCCTTGCTGCCTCACTTGTTTCCCAGGTGGTGGTGTATGCATCTCTGCAACAAGCCCCCACCCATCCCCAGATTTCTCCATCCTATCCAAACCCCTCCCAATTTCAGTCCAGCTCAAACCTGTTCTTGCTGAAGCCTCTTCTGTCTGTTCCAGCCACCTGGTCTCTTCCCTCCTCAAAGGTCATTTAACCCATCACATGTCATCGCCACATATCTTGGACCTCAGCTGGTGTGCATACCTGCCTGTAAAGGTATTTACGACACAGCTCAAACACACAACATACTTGTGATCTTTTTTAGGGGACACCAATGATTTTACTCTAATTAACTTCAAAAGTATGGCTGCACAGAAAGGTTTGCTATCATAAATTAATTTTCAAATTGGAAAAGGAAAGTTCTTTCTTTTCTTATATGTGTGTGTACATGTTTGTACACAGCACACTTGTGGAGACCAGAGGACAGCTTTCAGCTATCAGCTCTCTCCTACCATGCTAGTGTCAGGGATTGAACTCAGATTGCCAGCACTGGTGGCAAGTGTCTTTACCCTCTGGGCCATCTTGCCAGGCACAGATGCACTCAGTGTAGGTGTTATAAAAGGCACAAGACTAGAATCTGTATAATATACCTTGATGCCTTATAGTATTAAAAAAGGAATTTAGTGACTAATTAATGACTAAGCTGTAGCAAGTATGGTCTAGTAAGATGTATTCACAGGTCTGTATTGGAAGTTTCAAGGTTAAAAAAATGATAAAATCTCTAGCACAAAGCAGAAATTTCTTGTGATAGTAAAATAGAAAAGTTCATTTTAAGTGAATAAAAAAACTTAGTATAAACTGGGCCTGATGGCAGATGACTTTAATCCCAGCACTTGGAAGGCAGGCGCAGTTGGATCTCAGAGTGAAAGGCCAGCCTGGTCTATTGAATAAGTCTCAGGACAGCCAGGGGCACACAGAGAAACCCTGTCTCAAAAACAAAACAACAACAGAAACCCTCATTTTTAAAGCTATAATATAGCTTTAAAAATACACATCCCTTGGGGGAGGGTAGAGAAAGGCTGATCAACAGGCATTAAGTTACACAAGGTAAAGAAGTCCTAGTGTGCTGTGGTAAAATGGCACAACCACAGGTAAAAATATATAACACGTTTTTTAAATTTTATTTTATTTTTATTAATTACAGCTTATAATATGTTTTAAATTGCCCAAAGAAGAGATTTTGACAGTGTTCACCATTAGGAAATGATAAATGTTTGAGGAGATGAATTTAACCTGATTTGGACATTAATTAATACAAGTAAATATATATACCTACCACAATATTATGATGGCACATAACTTTTTATACACTGTTTCAGATAACTTAAAAAACTTAGTCACATCGAACACAAACAAAGTAAAACCATGTAAAATGGCTAAAATAATGAGAACCACACAGTGAAGGAGTTTCTGGGAAGGAAAAGTGGGAGGGACTACAGGTGGAAAGAAAAACAAATCAATATTAAGGCCCAATGACAGCTGAAGAAAGCAGAGCTGATGAAAGAAGGGAAGTCTCAGAAACCATGGCTATTGGCCAAAAAGTAGGGTACAAGCTCTGCTTGGCACAGGCTCTTTAAAAGGAGGACAAAGGACATTTTCCCTTTTATAGTGCGAGAACTCAAGAGACCCAAACAAAAATAAAAGGCCACTTGGAAAAGAAACAAGGTTGGTTAGGGCTAAGTAAGGGCCCAAGACAGAAGTTCAAGATAGATCTACAAGTGACTATCACAACTGTAATTATTATTTTTAAGTGGTAGAGTGAAACTAGCTGTATTTTAATTATATCATAGGGAAACACTTCAAAATTTGTAGCATATACATATACATACATATATATATATATGCATGATGTGTGTCTTTGAATATAGGTACCTCTGTGGCACAACACACACACAGACATCAGAAGACAACATTGGGAGGTGATTAGCAGGTTTACACACAAGCACTTTTACCTGCCAGGCCATCTCATCAGCCCAAAGATTCATTTCTTTATGTGAGCCTCTCAGACTGATAAGGGAGCATGTGCCATACTCCAAAGCAATGAAGAAAGAACAGAAAACATTTCACTTGCATAGACTTCATATGCAAGCATCTTTAACAATGACATGGGTATGACAGTATATAAGATATAATACATAGTAACACATTATTTAGTAACCCTACCCATGTTATTGGTTCAGAGAGAAGAAAGAGCCTGCCCAAGAGCACACACCTCTCCATTTCCCCATAAGCTCACTCTACTTCTACAAAACATCCAATTTCTATCCTAGTCACTAATAGTCCCTAATTTCAAAAATTTCTAGCAATGTCATTAACAAAAGCTAATTAAATCAAAGTCGCTGAGAACAAGCCATAGCTGGGTATAAAAGAGAAGGAAAAACAAAGTAAAACAGAAAGTATAAAACAATTTAATATATTTACAAAAACCTTTAAATCCCAGAAAGTAATTGCATTCTACAGTAAAAATATTACATAAAAGAACATTAAAATACTATACCAAAGGTCTAGAGAGATGGTCAGTGATGAAGAGATGATTCAGGTCACTTGCTACTTTGATGACCTGGGCTTGATTCTCAGCACCCATGTTGGACAGCTCCCAACCCCCTACCAGCTTCAGGGAATCCACCACCTCTGGCCCCCAAGGGCACTGAACTCACATGCACAAACACACACAACAACATAAAAAAAAGTGAACACTGTTCCTCTATTCTTCCAACCCAAGCAGGACAGATCGAATCCAATTTGGAGAGCTGAAAGACAAAATCTACTTTGAAAGATCATAAAACAAGCAAGAGCCACATTTAAACTGAGTCAAGGGACTGGAGAGATGCTTCAGTAGCTAAAAGTACTTGCTGCTCTTGCAGAGAACCTGGGTTTGGTTCCTAGAACCCACAAAACACCTTACAACCATCTGTAATTTCATCTTCAGGGAATCCACTGCCCTGTTCTGGCCTCTACATGCACCAGGCACACACACACACACACACACACACACACACACACACACACACACACGGTGCACATGCACTCGTATATGCAAACACTTCTACAAGTAAGAGCCACATTTAAGCTGAACCAAAGAACTGGAGAGATTTAGAAAAAGCCATGAAAAAGCAGAAAATCCTGGTCTGTAGGGAAGAGAATGGAGAAGGGATGTGCAAGGAAGTGAGGCCAGACATTAGTTTAGATTCAAGATTCAAGACAATTCCAAAAACCTTAATAGTCAAGACAAATTACGCTATAGTTTCCACTATTTTTCTTTAATAAGTAATATCCTAGAGTGGAAAAGAGTCACAAAAAAAGAGAAAAGAGAGCCAAAGAGAACCCACCAGGCCGCTGACTCAGGAGACTGTTGTGGGGATGAGTATCTTTCTAAGAGGCCTCTCTGAGTCCCAGCTGCAGTTCATTTCTGGGAGCTCAGTGGCTTTATAATAACAATCCACTACAATTCCAAGCCCAACACCACAGCAAGCAAGCTTAAGTGGGTTTGTGTTCTCTGAGACCCAGGAGATGAATACCATCTATTTGGGAAAATGAAACAACATAAAGCTACTTTTAAAAAATCAAGGCAATACATAATTAGCAGCCCAGAACCATGGGCCTGACAATTAGTGCTGTAGAGGTTCCAGGATAACTGTGGGTGGTCAGAAAGATGCCGATTCAGCTAGAGGAGGGGAGAAAAGCATAGAGTAAGCAGAAGATCAAAGCCTAGGCAGCAGGGACTGGAGCCAGGGGAAGGAAAGGAAGAAAATAAGAAGAAGAAAAAAGACTGATTAAAAAAAAAATCAGAACATGGGACATGCAAGGTGATTCAGGGGGTAAAGACATTGGCCATCTGAAGACCTGAGTTGATTCCTGGAAGGAGGAAACAGACTCACACAAACAAATACATGTAAAAGAATTTTAAGGCCATTCAGGCCTACATACAGGGACACTGTTTCAAAATAGGACAAAAAAGAGCTGGAGAGATGGTTCCTTAGTTAGGAGTGCATACTGCTCTTGCAGAGGACACGAGTTCAGTTCCCAGGCCTCATGGTCGGCCACCCACAGTTACCTGTAACTATAGTGCCAAGTGACCTGACATCTCTTAGGGACTCTGAGGGCCCTGCAATTAGCTGCACGCACAACTGGGCACATGTACACACGCTTGTGCATACATACACTTAAATAACTGAACAACAACAAACATAAGACCAATCTCCATGCTTTCCTACTTCCCAGCCTTAGATCACACTGTTTTACTATACCCTAAACTATCCTTTCCCCCACTGTGTTCAAATATTTTTACATTCTTTAGAGACTAGTATAAACAACACTTTTTGAAGGCAGGTCCCTAGTGTCCTACTCAGAAGACAGGGCCAGACCTCAGGTTTAGTCTTGGGGGAGGGGGAATGAGTATCAATGAGTTGGTTTTCTTCTGCAGCAAGGGTGACGCAAAGGCTGAATGCAGTAACAAGAACAGACTGCATCCAGGACTAAAAGTATTTTACTTACAAATCTATGCACATATTAAATAATATGCACTTGCCAAACATTTACT